ATTCGGAATCAACATGGTCGATAACCTATAACCCACTAGATGTCGATCAAAAAGCTTTTAATCACCTCGAAAGGTTCCCTCGTTCGCTAAAAATTGTGTTTTTTTTTCGTTTTTTCACTATGAAGATGTTTTCCAAACTTGAGCCTAGAAGATGAGATATAGCAAATTGAATTTTGTGAATTTTATCTGCTAAAAGCTCAGCTTTGTATATTAATCAAGTATACCGTGACCCACCGGTGGGTCACATCGCTGCCAATGAGTTAAAAAAGACAGTTTTTTTTTTATACTTTATTAGACTAATAGTTGATTGATAAGTTCTTCTAGCTGTTAAAATATCCGAGTTCATTTTTAAAATTAAATTGAACATACTATAAACTAACCTGACGTGAAGTACAAGTTGAAAAATTGAGTAAATATGCTAAGTTTGTGAAAAAGTGAAAAAGTTTAACTAAAATCATCTTTTTTCCATGAATATTTTGAATTTTAGCCAATATTTTCTAGATTCTAGACTTTAGATGGATAATGTTGCTATCAAAACAAACTTTACTAAATGAACTGTATGTAATCTTATCTAGTTATGTTAATAAATCATTTCTTTTATTAAATAATAAACAAAATTGTCGTACAACTGATCTATTATCTCAAATATTAAAAGAAGTAAATAAAAATAAACGAAAAAAATTAAAACGTCAACTAAAATTAACAACAGAAACAATTTATTATTGTTGTCAACAACCACTTCAATTATCATCATACAAATATTTAAAACGTTTACAAAAATTATACATTAGTCAACGTTTAAATGACATAGTAGTTATTGATTGTTCATTTCAAAATGAACATGTTAAAAATGAAAATTATTTACAAAATTTAATTCGAAAAGTTCATTCTTGTTTTACCTACTTATATAAATATCATACACCATCGTTCATCTATTTATGTAATGTAAATGATAATAATAATCAATTAAATAGTCTCTATTTTCATTCAACATCTCAATCATATTTAGATTTATTTTCTCGAGAACAATTAATTTATTTAACACCACATTCAGATAATATTATGAAAGAATATGATCATAATGCTATTTATATTCTTGGAGGAATTTATAGTCAAAGTAGGTAAGCAGAATTATTGTATACAGAGCTGGGCAACTCAACTCCAAAGTTGAGCTCTTTTTTTTTTTTTAAACGACTGGAGTTGAGTTGATGACAGATTTTGTCAACTCCAACTTCGAAACGGGTGGCCTAGCTTTCATCTTAAATTATTTCGAACTTCGGACATGTATCCGCGTGTTCGGAAATAAATTTTTCTACTTAAAAATGAAGAAAACGTCTACTGCAGTTTTGTATTTTACTTCTTAAAACTATTTGTTGTATTTGTTCTTAGTTGTTAGAGGAAGAAAATGTGATGATCATGATGTAACGGGTGTCTCACAATAAATGGCGGTCTCAGTATTTTGCCTATAACTTGGTTTGGATTTGTTTTCGAGATTCGATGTTTTTTAAAAAAGATACGCTGCGAAATACTCTACAAAATCATACCTAAACTATAATTTCAGAATTTCAATCAAGAAAACTAAGCCAATTAGATGAAAGTCGAAAAAAATGTAAACTTCCTAAACGCCAAAACTTATTTCTGATGTTAACGTTTTGGAAGTAAGAAAAACTGAATTAGCCATTTTGTAGCCCTGACCTCGCTGTATCTTTTAGCTACACTTCAAAATTTTTCACGTCAAAAGCCACCACGAAATAACAGTTTTTCTGTCGGTTGTCATGCATTTTTTCATTCATTTTTTCAATTTTGTGTATAGTAGAGCTTCCAGTAAAAGTTTCATAACTTCATCAAAATAAAAGCTTCTTCGGTCGGGTTTGTTTTGTTTTGATCAGAAATGAGATTACTCTTCTCTATCTAACTGCAAAACCAAAACTTCAGTAATGTTTTCCGTGTCTGGTTTGAGCACATCGTTGAAAACGAGGAGGTTGTAAACTTTTGACATATTTTTTGTAACTTCGTTCTCCAGCACACCATCTGCTCTAAAAAATTTTTTTTTACGGACCACGAGAAAGAGCATATTTAAAAGTACCCAACATAAACTGAGTTCTCACGTTTGCTACACTTTTTAGCTGAAATAGTAGCAGAAGAAAAAGTTCAAGGCGAAAAATATCTTGAGTTTAGGAA